CTAGGTCGTTAATATATATCAAAAATAACATTGGTCCAAGAACAGAACCCTGTGGAACACCATATCTTATTGGTTTCTTTTGTGATAAACAATTAGTAATTTCATTAGTTTCTTTATGTCTATAGGTAATTTCCACTGTTTGTTCCCTGTTTTCTAAATATGATTGAAAGCAATTTTGTGCAACCCCTCGTATTCCTATTTCTGCCATTTTTCCAAGCAAGCTGTCATGATCTACTAAGTCGAATGCTTTTGACAGATCCAAGAATAACCCTATACTTATTTCCCTCTTGTCCACAGATTTATAAACCCTTTCAAGAAACTCTGCAATTGCAGTATTCATCGATTTCCCTTTACAGAAGCCATGCTGTTTATCACTAATTATACTATGGCTTTTTAGAAATGATAAGAGTCTTGTCTGCATGATTTTTTCAATTATTTTTGAGAAAACAGAGATCAGCGAAATTGGTCTATAATTCACAACTTCTGTATCAAGTCCTTTTTTGTACAATGGTTTCACTTTTGCAATTTTTAACTGGTCTGGAAAATATCCAGCATGTCAAAGCATGTGTTATCTTAGGATAACATTTCTTAATAATATAATCTGAGATTTCATCTACACCGGTTGATTTTTTGTTATTCAATTTTTTTATTATGCCTAATTGCTGTATGCCCAACGTGTATTTTTTTGTGGTATGCAGGAACTACAGGTGCAGTTGACATGTTTTCAGTCAACTAATCAGAGCCCAGAGGGTGAAGCACCACAGTTCATTCGTCTAGAAGTACCATTGCACATCAAACCAACTGAAAGTATCTCCAAGCTCTGCTTACAGGTGAAGTACATTTTTTATGCATTGCCAGATGTAATATAAAGATCTCTAGCCAAGTAGCTGTCCAGCACAATAGATTTACTGCAGTGCTTATCTCATAATTCCATTAACTATAAACCAAGCCAAAAAATTGGAGTATAATTAAGATAAAGAGCACTCTCTTCTGGGATATGATGTCATGACCAACCCATCTTACCCATTCTATAGTTAGGAACTTCTAAAAAAATAATGATCTACATGCCTAATGCCTAGAAGAGAAACTTTGTGAAATTGAAGGTGAAAGAAGAAATGCTGAAGTGCAGTGGAACAATATAAAAGAATGCATGTTAGATACTATCAGTGATTTGGTTGGTAAAGTTGAGAAGCTAGCAAGAAAACCATGGGTTACACAGGAGATGATGAGTAAAATGGAGGAGCGAAGGAAATGGAAGAATGTAAACAATGAAGAAGGCAGGAGGAAATACAGGAGACTGAGGAATGAATTGAAAAGAGCCACGGACAGGGATAAAAACAGATATCTTGAGGAGATATGTAATGAGATTATAGAATTTCAAAGGACAGGACGTTATGATTTGATGTACATGAAGACAAAAGAACTAGGATGGAAAGAGAATCATGGGATTCAAAATATTGGCATCGAAGACTCCCAGGGGAATAGAATAGTAGATAGAGGCAAGTGCTGAAAATTTGGGAAAATTATATTACAGAACTATATGATCGACCTAATCAGCCAGAAACCTTAGAAGTTGAACCGGAAGAAGTAGATACAGATGAGAAAGGACCATATATTTTACAATGTGAGGTGGAAAAAGCTATCAAGGAAATGAGGAAGGGAAAGGCTACAGGAGATGATGATGTGCCTGGAGATGTGCTCAAGTTACTGGGAGAAGGTGGTTTGAAAACACTGACAAAACTAATGAACACCATATATGAAAGTGGAGAGTGGCCCAAGGACTTTACAGAAGTTACAATGATTGCCTTAAAGAAAAAGACAAAAGCTACAAAATGCAGCGACCATCGCACAATAAGTCTTATTGCACATACAGCAAAGATAATAGCAAAGATACTTAAAAGAAGAATTGAAAGGAAAATAGAGGATGTACTTGGAGAAGATCAGTTTGGATTTAGAAGAGGAAAAGGAACCAGGGATGCAATTGGGATGATGAGAATTATAGCGGAACGAACTTTGGAGATAGATGAAGAACTGTGTGTTTGCTTCATAGACTGGCAGAAGGCATTTGACCGGGTAAACTGGACCAAATTAATGCAGATCCTGAAAGAAACAGGTATCGATTGGCATGAAAGAAGATTGATTAGCAAATTGTACATGGATCAGAAAGTTAGAGTACGACTGGACAGGGGGGAGACAGGAAGTGTGCAGATTGGAAGAGGAGTTCGACAAGGATGCTGTTTATCACCAATTCTGTTCAACTTGTACAGCGAATGCCTTACCAAGGAAGCTCTGGATGGGCTCGGTGACTTCAAAGTAGGAGGGCAAATTATTCAAACTGTGAAATATGCAGATGACCTTGTGTTAATGGCTAAGGAAGAAACTGTGCTACAGGGCATGATTGATAGACTAATTGAAATTGGAAGGTGCTATGGCATGGAAATGAATGTGGAGAAAACAAAAGTAATGAAAATTTCGAGACAACCAACCCCAGTCACAATAAAGATAGACCAAAAACAACTGGAGAATGTGAAATGTTTTAAATATTTGGGTAGCTTGTTAACAGATGATGGAAGGTGTACTAGTGAAATTAAATCCAGGATTGCCATGGCAAAAGCTGCATTTAGCAAGAAGAAGAATCTTTTTACCAGCAAATTGGACTTAAATTTGAGGAAGAAACTAGTGAAATGCTACATTTGGAGCATAGCTCTGTATGGGGCTGAAACATGGACACTTAGGGCAGTAGATCAGAAACATCTGGAAAGTTTCGAAATGTGTTGGAGAAGGATGGAGAAGATCAGTTGGACCGTTATGTGAGAAATGAAGAAGCATTAATTAGAGTCAGTGAGCAGAGGAATATCCTACACGAAATAAGAAAACGGAAGGCTAATTGGATTGGTCATGTGTTATGCAGAAACTGCCTCCTAAAAGAAGTTATCGAAGGAAAGATAGAGGGGCGGATAGAAGTGACAAGAAGACGAGGAAGAAGACGTAAGAAGATGCTGGATGACCTTGGGGACAGAAGAGGATACTGTCATTTGAAGAAGAAAGCTCTAGATCGCATTAAGTGGAGGAATTGTTTTGAAAGAGACTGTGGAACTGTCGTCTGACAGATTACTGATGATGATGATGATGCCTAATGATAGGTACTCCTGACAGTGAATGTTACTGTGATCATTTGCATTTATTCCAGGTCATGCAGTGGAATGTCTCTGTCCTTTTCCTCTTCTCCATTTTGTGTAACATTTTCCTTGTATCATAAAGCATGTTGAGATGTGTTGATGTTATACCCTGCAGTCAATGGTGGAGCTGCCTGAGATCCTATTCCAAGAAGAGAGAGACAGCTATGATTTGACAACTAAGCTCAAATTCCTCAGTGTCCTGGCACAGCTCAACAATAAGGCTGGTGAGTCTCATTCTACTTTCTGTGAATGATTAGGCATTCTTTACAAATTTAAAGTTAAACATCTCATGTGGAGGTCATGTCAGTGACCAGCGCACAATCTTTTTTAATATTCTATTTGATATAGACACTTTCTCTTAAAGTTGTTGGGCAATTCTGACTTTAACCTATTTTGAATAATTGCAAAGAGAACTTTACTTAAGACTGGGTTCACATATATTAAGGTGTAGGTGGGTGGACAATATTAAAATGGGTCTTAGAGATATAGAATTGTATGGATTGAATTGATCTGGCTCAGGATAGAGACCAGTGGAGGGATCTTGTGAACATGGTAATGAATTCAGGTTCCATGAAATGCTGGGAAATTCTTGAGTAGCTGCAGAATTGGTGGCTCCTCAAGAAGGGCTCAGCTCCATGAGTGAGTAAGTAAGTTATAAATTATTAAACAAATTTTATAAACAGGGTGCAAGTAAATTTAATAAAGGGCATAGAACACAGATGGGGATCTTGTATGCTATATTACGAAGTACAAAGTTTCCAATCTTGTTTTCACTATGCCAAGTCAGTTATGGTATTAGGGAACAGTGGATTAAAAAGCATGCAAGAAATTAATATTTTAGTTAGTTAGTTATTGGAGAGGGTGGGTTTCCCCATGCACTGAGACCTGTATTGGTCCATTGTGCTTCCCTCTATGATTTCTATCAGTCTCTATATCCTACCAGTACTGGTGCTTACCATCAGTCCCGTCCAGCCAGCGAGACTGGCTCTACTAGCTGAGAGGTATCTATAATGCTTCCCCCATCTACCAGAGGTATTAGAGACTGCTGTTGGGCGGGAAACGTCCGTTAATTTGGCTCAGTGACCTCCTTTGGAGATATGAGGTTCTTTTACATGCCATAAACCTATGACACGGGACCCACGGCTTAAAGTCCCTCCCGGAGGACTTGTTCCCTGAATTTTTCCGCCTTTAAAAATTCAACGACCTCCGCCGGGTATTTGAACCCACGTACTACGAGTCATAAGGTGGGAACGTTACCTCTAGACTACGGAGGCCGCTAAATTCATAGGTTACTGAATGGTGTCATAATTTGAATGTATCAGTGGTCCTCACCAATATGATAGATTCTGGTTTATTATCTATTTTGTATCTTGACAACAAAAATTTGGTACTCGACACTGAAGTTAATGTCGCTAGACTACTTCATCGGTGAATGATGCCTCTTTGTTTCCAGTTCTTACTAAAGCTTTGTGTCACATCACAGAAGTGGTGTCAGGCCCACTTGTTACCTCCCTGGAACAGCGGAAGGCTACCAATGTCAAGAGATGTGATGAACTGATAAAGGAGAAGCAGATGCTAATTGCACTGCAGTCACGTTCATGATGTAACACTATAATTATTTTATCCTTTGAATATGTGTAATTATGCTGTTCATGAAAATTAAATTAAGATTTTTAATATTAATGAATAATATAGCTGAATAAAATTTGCTGAATGTGGTATTTTTTTCTTTTTCTTTTCCATCACATTCACTAAAATTTTAAACAATACTAGAGTAAGGTCTGAAGCTCAGCTACATAGGACTCACTGTAACATAGTTGCTGGATTTGCAATGCAGTTTGAGTGAACATTAAATCTTTAATAAAGCAACCAATTATGAGCATGCAATAATTCACTGGGGTAGATTCCAGTGGCTCACATGATCCAGCCTGGTTACTGCTTAGAGGATGGTTTTCTGTTGCATGCAATTCATGTATATTAAAAAAAAAAAAAACAGAACTACCACATGTGATATTTTAATTACTCCTTTTGTATCTTGCAAAGAGGTCTTTCTTAAAATATTAAATTCTTACCAAAACAGTTCAACAATTCATGCAGTCTCTAGTGCCAAAAATAATGCAGAACTACAGATGAAGGAAACAAGAACACTGATACATCTTAATCACAGGATGATTATATGCCCAAATGGCAGAACAGCCCTTCCTAATATATCATAACTCAGACAAAGTTATGCTTCAGTGAACAGTACTCATGTCCTTATTTGGGAGTTTCAGGGTATGAATCCTGACAGGCATATTTTTATTGCCTTCCTCAGTAATTTTAAGTAAATGCTAGAACATAACCTCAAAATAAGCAAGGATTTTTTCACAAATCATCATTCTGACAACGGACAGCATAACCTTAACAGATCAGGAACTGTTCTGGGAGAAGGAACCAGGGAAGACTATGAGTTCTTTATAAAGATAAAGATATTGAATACGTACAATAAGTCGTTTATTTCTAAACCAAAGTTACTCATCTAAAACTTCACAAATAAATTATGCTAATTTAATGAAAGCACTATCACCCTGGAAAGAGCATCACACTCTTGTAAATGTATGTAGGAAGCAATTAAAGAAAGAGATTTCTGATAAATTCAGCAAAGAAGCAAACTGGAACAGAATTCACACTTTGGTCTTTTGGGCCATGACACTAGTCTTGTTGGTGGGTGCTAATATTTTGAAGGAATATACAGATGTCATCTAATTGTCATAAATGTTATCAATGTACAAACTTTAAATAACTTAAATATATATATACATTTTAATTTAAATTAAATTTACTGCATTTATTTTCCCAATTACAAACTCTAGTTACATCAACTTAATTACTGTTACTAGGGCAGCAGAGGATGATACAAGGGCATATTAAATGCTTTCAGAGCTACGATTTTTAAAAATACTGATCAAACATCAGTCTTTAAGAGGTTTCATGTACTTACACTTTACACTAAAAAGTTTTAATTCAAAATACAGGTGAACCCCAACTTATGAAAATAATGTGTTCTTTGAATTGTGTTGGTAAGTCATTTTTTTTTTGTCATATCATTAAATTTGTTAAAATGTTCATAAGCACGGGGTTCTGTGTTTGTTAAATGAAATGGGAGTTGCAATACAGGGTTATTCAAAAAGAATGAACCGATTTCATGACACATTGCTTCAGTTCTCAAGCATCGTCATGGAATGAGTCAGAGACCATTTGAAAGAGGAGTTATCTAAGTTGTGAATGGCTGCCACAGGGATGCTGAAGTCCTGTCGTTCTTCCGGCAACGTTCTTCGTTTACCCTCAGAATGGCGAGTCCTCAGCAAAAGGCATTCTGCGTTCTCGAGTTCGCGAAAACAAATTCGGTTGTCACAGTGCAGCGTGCTTTTCGAAGGCGATTCAACATTACTCCGACCTGTCCAAAGAACATTCAAAGGTGGTTTCGACAGTTTCAAGAGAGTGGGTGTCTGTGTAAAGGAAAAAGTCCAGGATGACCACGATTCTCGGAGAAACAAGTGGCGAGAATCCGTGCTGCGTTTGAGAGGAGCCCGCGGAAGTCAACAAATCGAGCTAGCCGTGAGCTTGCGATCCCTCAATCCACTGTCTGGCGTGTGCTAACAGTACGTCTACATTTGAAACCATACAGACTGCAGCTCGTTCAGGCACTTACCAATGACGACAAAAGGAAGTGGATGGAATTTTGCGATTCGATGCTGGAGATGATGGAAGACGAAACCTTCATTTCACGTTTAATTTTTAGTGATGAAGCGACTTTTCACTTGAGCGGCACAGTCAATCGTCACAATGTGCATATTTGGGGAACAGAGCACCCACATGAAACAGTTGAGCACGAAAGAGATTCCCCTAAGGTGAACGTCTTCTGTGCTGTGTCTCAGGACAAGGTTTATGGTCCCTTTTTCTTTGAAGGAAACACCGTTACAGGACAAACCTATCTCTAAATGCCCCAAAACTGGCTCTTCACTTCACTGCAAGCAGATTCGCATGACTTCATTTTTCAACAAGATGGAGCACTGCCCCATTGGCACCTGATGGTCCGAGCTTTTTTAAATGAAAAAGTGCCCCAGCGATGGATTGGTCGGAAGGGGGCCAAAGACCTTGCTCTTTGTAGTTGGCCTGCGAGATCCCCAGACCTCACCGTGTGTGATTTTCTTCTTGTGGGGATATGTAAAAGATCATGTTTATGTTCCACCGTTACCCACTGACCTTGATGACTTTAAACATCGAATAACAACAGCAATTAACTCAGTGCATCGTGATATGCTGATACGCGCCTGGGAGGTCTTCTCTTATCGCATTGATGTTGCCTGTGCTGCAGGTGGTGGCCACATTGAACACTTGTAAGACAGGAAATAAAAGTTTATTGTTAGTAGAATACTTGTGACTTGGCTGGAGTTTTGTATTACTTTCATTTAATAAAATACTGCATAATAAAATCGGTTCATTCTTTTTGAATAACCCTGTATATTAGTCCATGTAATGTTTGTAAAAATAAATTTTGTTTCTTGAAAGTTCATAAGTAGAGGTTAACCTATACATCTTCTGACTATTTGGAACATAATATGGTAATTAACATAACACAGAAAATAGAATCACATACAATTGTCAACAGAAGAATTTTCCTGCCTGCATTCCTAAGGGTTTTTAGGAAAGAGGAACATCTTCAGGACTTGCACATGACTAAACAATGGTCTAGTTCTGAAGCCCCAAAATATGTAAAACAGTGATACATAACAGCATATCCTTAAGATCCAAAAATAAAAAGAAAGGATAAATATCCCTGTTTCCAGAAGGATATTACAATTTTCAATAAATAACGGGGTAAAAAAATACACCAATTTACAATTGTCAAATTCTGTTGAAACAGAAGTCCATCTTAATCCACATCATAATGAATGATGATGCAATCATTGCTAGGTAATGAATTACAGTGCCTTATTTTCACATAAATGTAAATCACGTCTGTCTTCCGTAACTGGAAAAATTAGCATTCTGATTCGACTAGACTACAAATTCAGCTTTAAGCATTAAACAATTAACTTGCAAATACACATATATGAATAAAGAAAATGTCATCTACACCAACAGTAAAGTGACAGGAATAACATTGTTGCTGTATCAACTAAATAACAATTTTCACACTGTTTAAATAAGCTCTGATCACAGTTAGAAAGGGTCGATGTATTAACGAAGCAATCTCTTGATGTTAAATGAAATTTGTTCATAAATAAAATAGTGGTTCTTGTTGAGGCACTGCTTTTGTGACCTGTGCTTGCCCAATGGGACCCCTGCAAGATGATTATTCTATTTCATTGTTAGGATGATAGAATAATGGCTGGCAAGGGGAGTTTTCAGCCCTGTAGAAACCTGGTATTCTTCACATTCCAAAAGTTAAAGCTCTGATAGAAGTTAATTACCTATGTGTAGACCAGAGACTGAAACTGATTCCTTGAATGAAGATTCCTTATTCCAGATTACAGGTCCCTTGTAATTAAAGAGGATTAAGAATGAAATCTCTCAGTCTCTAAGGCACTGAGAATCAATTTTATAAACATACTGATTTTTATAATTCTTCTAAAAATGTTTAAGAAGCAGCAGTAAAATCCATTTATTTTGATTATGTAAGATTCATGGCATGAAGACGGAACCACATTTGACAAAGTTCATGAACATAAGAGGTGCTTCTCAAGACTAAAAAATACCTGAATGTGAGTATCATGTAGTAGCTTACCCAGGGCAAGAACTGTATGTCTCAACAAATGTGAAAGAAAATGCTGTTTTCTGCACAAGATTAAGCTTATACTTCAGTGTTGGAACCATCATAGTCCTGGTACAGAATAATTTTGTCATGTGAGTTGATAACTCCTGGATCCAAAGAGAGTACACTGTCTGGGGAAACCATTGTTTCCACCACATCTCCATGGTCTTCTGCCTGAGTACCATATGTCCGTTGCAGGACAGAAAGGCCTTCCACAGGGCTTTGAACACTGACTATGTCAGGGTGACGGTCCTGATGGGGTTGAAGCACACGTGGCACAAACTGATGCAAGGACCCACTCCTTCGAGGGCTGGTTTGATTTGATGAACTTGGAGATGATCGATAATTCTAGCCAAGATGGAAAGACACTTGATGTGAACATCTGTATATAATGACACACATATTATCTAACAGCTGCAATTCTGATTATTCCAAACTGCTTGCTTGCACATGGCTCAACAAGAGGGATTAAACCAACAGTGTTCAATAGTTGATTTTTCATGACAACGTATCAAGTATGGAGGTTGTGTATGCAATATGATACTATGATTGTCAACAATAAAGGGGGGGGGGTATGGTCATCCCACAACACAATAAAATCAACCTGAAGTGAAAATAAAAGCCTCAAAAAACTGCAATGAAAACCTGAAGATTCCAGTCACTGTAATTCTAGTCTTACCTCGTAAGGGAATGGACTAAAGCCTTTGCACGAGTTGAGGAGCATCTGCGCTGACAAGAACAGCAATGCAATGCAAAATCCAATTAGTGAATAGATCGAGATATCATTGAATCCTCGTCTGAGAATTGATAACGATGTGAAGCTCAGCTGCTGCAGTGTGATGGAGATTATCACAATGCTGATTGCTGATGCATGGATACGTGAGCTTATCTTTGATGGTCCATATACAAAGTAGATATTGTATCGATCCACCAAGTGTTTCAGTAACATGTACAACAGACCTGGTAACATAAAACCAACTTCAACATTTTTTTTCCACTTTGGATTATACTGATAGTGAAGGGACTTTTCACCCAAAAAATACATAGCACAGAATAACATTTATTTAAAAAAAAAGAATTCCCTTCTTAAAGATATTCAGGTCCACTGTTAGGCTCATATGACATATGGGATACTATATTTCAGTTCAGTGTCAGCAGTAAAACTTTGTAGGCAACAAAGCGAGTAATGCCATTTCTTTTTCACCCCTGTTGCTACCTAAGAATTAACTATCTGCCTAACTTACTGACACAGCCACTCAGTACAGTCCACTGAATGACCAATCACCTAATCCCATGGTACACAAGAGTTCCCTGGGCATTTGAGATATCCAATCATTATGGAACCTCAACTTCTGTTACCTGTTATCACAGAAGTCCACCATTTAAATCTACCATAAGATCCCCAATTTGCATATTTACAACCAATTTCCTTAAGACATGTTCAGTATTATATTCCCCACTGATATCATGATCTTTCATGTAACCCTGTGTGGGGCTCTGAAATCAAAATTGAAGTGGTTTTCTTGTGTCCCTTGGGTGTACTACATGTCTAAGCCATCTCATTATACTGCTCTGCTCTCTGAGTACTCTAGATATAATAGTGTTATTTTTATGACCACCTACATCAATTGTATGCTGACTTACAAGATGAACAAATAATCTCCTAATTTCATAAATTTATTATTCTGATAACTGTTCTGTACTATCATTTATCTAATGTGTAAACTCTCTAATCAGAATCAGTAGTAGTACTTTCTTTAAGGGAAACTGTTAGGATAAAAATAACCACGTCTTAATAAACTTGGGCTAATTACAGCAACTGTGATGACAATTTTGTAATGGTTTCTGATGTGGCAGAGTCACTAACATATCAATATAATCCCATAATTTCACGACTATCTGAAGGGGAAATGAGCAGAAAGAATAGCCGAACATATTCTGTACTGTATTCTTTCCACTTAAATGTAATTGGACACAAAATTAGACAACAGTAAGGCCAACAGGACTACACAAAGCAATTCAGATAAACATCAAATGATCCTAACAGAAAATGAACATAAGATCCCTGTGGTAGGTGACTTAACAACATGTGACTTTCAGTTTAATTAAAAGGACAGCTAAAGGATGTAGAGGAGATACAATCTTACACAAAAGTGGCTTAAATTCCAATATCTGCACTTTGCATGTCTTAAATAAAATCAGAATCAGTGTGATAGTTAAAGTCCTAAATTTCAATTTGGGAGCTTTTTCTTTTTTCATTATGTTATCATTTTTTCTGGCTACATTCATCATTTATATCACTCATTATAATAAAACTTTTTGAGAATAATCCCTGAATCAAACCTGAAAAAACTGAATTTAAATTAAATTATTTTTTATAAAAAGTAGTAAATCATGTTTTAATATAAATAAAATGGTTGCTATTTATTATATTCATGAACACTATGAATTTAATTTTATTCATTTCAATTACTGAAATACTTTTTGAGAAGAATTAAACTTGACAGCGCTACAACTGAAGCTTTAGTCAATGTGTTGTTCATTTCTCTGTTACATTATGCTTTTCATGCAGCATGATGCCAAAAGCAAGTTATCATTGGAAAGGAAGAATAGTGACTAAAAATATATATGAGAAAAGACTCACTACTTTGTAACTGTTTCCAACATTGCCGCACTCCTACAGTGAATTGATTGCAAATCAAGTAAAAATCAAAGTTTCAATACATTATTATTAATTTCTCCTGAATGGTGTATTGAATGTAAATGTAAATTTGCAACATTATTTCTAAAGGCTGAAATTATAAGTGTAAAAATTTTGAAACTCATGGTACTATTTCTTATATGTTTTTCATCTACTATAATGTGTGAGGTGATGAACTTTCGTAAGATCATGTATAAATTTAGTGAAAATTAAAAGTGAAATAACTTTCAAATGGGTTACTGAATTGAGTCCAAACTTTTTTAGGGACTTCAGAATAAAGGAAAGAAAGATCTGTACAGTTTTTATCGATTTTTAAGTATCTCCTCTACATCCTTACTCTAAGATGACCATCCAAAACCCGGGAACGTACACTGTATGTGTGTCAGTAAGCTCAGTTCCTCTAAATTATTCTATTGTAACTTTTACTTCTCTACAATATACATACATAAACAATGGTAGCCAACTTACCAAATGGAGTGATGAGGGGACAGGAGAGACTGTACATGGTTGTCATTGCAAAGATGAGCAACATCCAGGCATACTGTACACCAAATGGAAATTCCCATAATATGGTTTTACGGACATTTGCTGTCTCTGCCTGTGACCTGTCACAGTACACACAAACTTCTGTACTATACCTCACTACAGGTTAGTCGCCGACTTCCCACTGCGGCGGCCCAGGTTCCATTCTGGGTCTGGTAAAGTGGGATTTGTGGTGGACAAAGCAGCACTGGGGCAGGTTTCCTCCGAGTACTTCGGTTTTCCCTGCCCATCTTCATTTCACCAATTGCTCCACAATCACCCTCACCTATCATCTGGGGCTGGTACAATAGGCCAGAAGTGGCCGCAGTACAAGGGACTTAGTCCCACCCCACTAGCAATAATAATAATAATAATAATAATACCTCACTATACAAAATTTGTAACTGTACATGGATAACTGTCATTTTAGCAGTACCCTGCACAAAGCAGGAAGTAAATAAGCAAGCAAACAAGAAAGCAAATATCTTATTTCAATGAAGATACTGATTTAATCTTATTTGAGGTTAAGCTTCAGCTATACCAACACTAACAGAAGTAAATGTTAAAGATATTTAAACTCTACCATACTTTTCATTACAACTCAAAAGTTTCCAACACATGAATTTAAATACTGTGGCTGCAATACTATATATTACTTGTATAAAGTGATATCAGAAAGTTCTTGGAGTGTTACTGTTCCCTCATTGTTTTCTTTGACATGAAGGAGACTGTTAACTATGAATTTGTTCCTCCTAATAACACTACGGTCAATTCTGACTTCTGACTTTTACTGTGACATTTTGAGATGCTTGAGAGAAAATGTGTGACAAAAAGACCAGAAATTTTGCACAACAACTGGCTCCATCATGACGTGCCTGCCCACACATCTCTGAAAACCAGAGTCTGTGACTAACAACATGGTTATCATCTTCCATTCTCCCTACTCACTGGACCTAGGCCTCTGTGAGTTCGCTTTGTTTCCCAAATTGAAAATGAAACTGAAGGGATGACATTTGGAAACAGTGTCTGACATCCAAAGGGAATCACAAGCAGGAGTTGACACGACTAAGGGAATACTAGTTCCATGGTGCTCTTGAAGAGTGTAAAAAATTATGGGCTAGTTATATACATTCCCAAGAAGACTATTTTGAAGGATATGGCAGCTGAAATTGAGTAAGTTAAGCCAGCATTTCTTTTTTTGACCCAGTCCAGGAACTTTCTGCTACACCTCGTAATGTTAAATTTTAAATAATGGCTCAGAAGCTTAGTCCTGAGCTCCATTCCAGACCAGTATGCAAGCCTTGTACTTAACAGTGAACCCTACTGCTGCAGTATTCAACCAAGTCAAACAAGCCTCCATTATCTTACATTGCAACATTCAACTTTAGTCCACATCGCAGCATCATTTAACTTCATTCGCTGAGCTATGAAAATTAATTTTTGTTTGTTTTTACATATTCTTACTACAAAATTGTATATTTTCAGGAAAATTGTGAGAAAATAATAAACAGAAAAAGATTAATATACAATATTGTTCCAATTACCTTGCAAGACATAGTTTAACTGTGTACACAAACAACTCTGGGAAGCGAATCAGTTCCAGTGCAGTTCCAATAAAAGCAGAAGTGATAACATAGTTCACAAAGAATGCTCCTTTATCAGGTAGAAACAAGCATTCCCATCGGTATGTTTCATTGCGAGCATGGATTGTCCAATCAACAAATGCCTGGGCACTGCAAAAGAATTAAATACAGTCACAAACCAAATAAAACAAAATTTAGAGACAAAGAACTAAAAGATATGAGCGGACCTGAAACCATAAAAAAGTATTGTAAAGTCCAGAGTTCCGTGACTAATAATAACAGGTTCTGGATTGGATTTATTGGCACTTCTATTACAATTACAAAAAATTATAACAGCCCACAATCGATGACTGCTTAAGGTTCGCTCCATTCCTTACTGGATTACAAGTGTCTTCCACTGTGATGAATGATGAATGAAGAATCAGATGCAAATGAACTCCCCTGAAATGAACTCCTGTGAATGAATCACGTGTCCCCTTATAATTTGCAGCGAACCAAACACAGATTGTCTCAGACAGTTTGTCTATTACTGCATCTATTCATTGTCACTGATACATGCTTTTGGCGAGTAGCTGTCTAGCAATGGACTATTCAGTGTCCATTTGTTGCCACAGGAATGTGCGGTCATTTCATAACAAGCCCTTGTCTAGCAATAGATTACTCGGGCTTTCAGGCGTCATGTCAAATATCAAAGAATTTCAATCTAAATAAGATAAAAATAAGATGTAATCATGAGAAATAGGACAGTTTTGCTACAGTAGCCTATCTAGAAACATGTGAATCTTAAGACAAATGAAGGATTCACAACTGGGAACTTTGAAGTTGTAAACTCAATACAGTCTCAAGTGGTGTAAATCTTTCCACTCCTCCACTCACACAACTGATACATGAAGCGTTGACATATGCTAGGATTAGTACAAATTAAAACACAGTAGATACCTGGTGAGGCCTAAAGATGGCAGTATGAGAACCATAAAGAGCAGGAAAAAGAATGTTTTGCGCATGATAGAATGGTTTTGCTCAGAACGTGTCCAGTGTGACAGCCACTGGTCTGAGTATGAGACCAATACTGGTAAAAGTGCAGCTACTGTCCACAGCAGGAGCGTTGGCAGGAACTCTGACAGCACAGGGCTCTGAAAACAAACCAAAATTTCCATAAAGGGTATAAAATACATTAAATTTTCTTATTACACATATTAATGACAACTAAACACGTTCCAAATCACTGACTCAAAAAAATCCATCAACTAAAAAATTCCTTTACTGTTGTAACTTGTAAGAAAGGCTCTTTTAACCCTCTTGACTCTACTAGGACATATACACATTCTGCAGATATATCTGCTGTGTTTCTTGGCATATATGAGGGGGGACCCAAAAATAACCGGAAACGACCTGTTGCGCGCGTATGCTTTGTAGTTACGAGTTGTGCTGCTAGATGGTGTTAGCTGGGGGTCTCCCGCGACTGTTAGTGAGCTGGCGTCAGTCTGAGTTAAGTGGTTTGTCTGTGGTGCTCTGTTGTGTGCGTTCCTGTTTCAACCCTTTGGCGATTAGTGAGATGGCCGACCAGAAGGAACAAAGAGTGTGCGTGAAATTGATGAAGATCGTTGAAAGACCATTGACCAACTTTCTGAGGAAACGAACATCTCATGGAGCACGGTCCAGCGAATTTTAACCGAAGGTTTGCACATGAGACGGGTGTCTGCAAAATTTGTTCCTCGCTTGCTCGGAGATGACCAAAGAGAAAACCGCGTGAATGTTTGCCGCGACTTGAAGAGTGAAGTGCAGTTTTCCCTAACAGAAAGCAAAATTTCACGCACACTCTTTGTTCCTTCTGGTCGGCCATCTCACTAATCGCCAAAGGGTTGAAACAGGAACGCACACAACAGAGCACCACAGACAAACCACTTAACTCAGACTGATGCCAGCTCACTAACAGTCGCAGGAGACCCCCAGCTAACACCATCTAGCAGCACAACTCGTAACTACAAAGCATGCGCGCGCAACAGGTCGTTTCCGGTTATTTTTGGGTCCCCCTTCATATATATCTCACACATATGTACACTTATTTTATGTCAGTTCTTTCTAGTTTTTAAAATCAGATTTTGAAGGGTTAAACAGCTACACTATACATATTAATGATCTACAAGTCTCTCAAGTGCATACATTCATGTGGTACCAGTCCTTTTTGTCAGTTTCTTAAAATCAAATTTGAAGGGTCGAAGTTCTGATTCATACATATTGTAACGTGTTTACGTTACCGAAGACGCCGTAGAGATGGTTAATTGGGTTTATTTAACAATCTACAAATAACGGCTACAATTAATTATCACAATATCACGGGTTTCCACACTTTACAAACCCTACAACAAAGTCACTTAACACGATCTTCACTTTTCTTCACGTACTACTAACGCGGGAGCTATACAAGTCTCCCTGAAATACACACTCCGAGTACAACTGTACTACAGCAATCACTATGTCTGGAAAGCACACAATAAGTCTTCCGCTCGCTGACTTCTTAGTTGTCGCACACTCGC